TCCTGGGGCATGGAAAGAGGCAGCTGGGCTTGGACCTCAGGGACCACCCCAGGTAACAGGAGGTCAGAGAAGGCCAAGGCCATGTAAAATAACCAGAGACCAGACTCCCAGAACTAGTCTCTGTTCTCCTCTCCCACATGCCAAGGGCTTGGTAGTGCACACTGGCTCCAAAGCCAGTGTCCTCAGAGGACCTGGACCTGAGGCCTGCCCTGCAGTGTCTCCCAGTCCTGGAGGGAATCTCACAGTAAAAGCAAGTGCCTCAGACTGAGGAGGTAAAGCTGGAAAAATGGAACACTCTGCTTGCCAAGGAAGGATGTGGGCAGACTTGGGGCCAAAGGAGCTGTGGCCACTTTAGATGGCTCCTTAGGTAGACAGCTACTCAAGGAGTCATGGGCTGTCCTTCATCTAATGCCCCTCATTGCTCCAGGTGGGAGGAGACTCATGGCATGTGTCAGATGAAGAGTACATGACTGACCCCACTGCTGATCCCATGTCCAGACTCTGGTGGCTCTTTTGTCCCCACCATCTCCCAGGACCTGAGCCTGGATCCTTCTGACCTGGCAAGAGCTGGTTTTTCTGTGTTTGACATTACTGTAAAGGAGAAGAGAATTGTGGGAATGAATCTGCATTGGCAGGGGTTGGGAGGCCACATAAGGCATATGTTCCTGACTCACTGAAATAATCTGGCTCCACTTCCTCACAGTGAGTGGAGAGGCTTCAGTGAGGACCAAACAGACAGTGTGGTATATAGGTCAGGCCTTTTCTAGGAATCAGGAAGTCTAGACAAGTCTTCCTTTTCCTGAAGCTCGGACACTATCCTCACAGGCTTGTGATTGTGACCTTTGTACAGGATTTCAGGGACTCAAAGACTGTCTTACCTGAATAGAATGCTCAATGCCCCGTGTGTTCCAGGCACTCTCCAGACTTCATGTGTTGGCTTCCCTCTGCCTGGGACACCTGTTTCTCTTCACCCTTCAGCCTTCACAACTGTGTCACTTCCTGCCAACAGCCTGCTCTGCCTTGTCATAGCTGAGTCAGGCACCTCCCCTGCCTTCTCGAGTCTGATCACAGCCTAGACCATACTGTACAACACTGCCCACTCCCTCATGTCTATCCTGCAACTCTGAGTTGGTGAGAACAGAGGCCATGTGGAGGCTGCAGGAGACATGGGTGGGAGGATGGATGGGTGACCTGGCCATTCCATATTGTGCTCTGTGATGATGCCCAGCACCACACCTTCTGCCCCAAATGTCTAGTTTGTGCTACAGTCCATGGTCTGTCTGTGAGCCACTGCCAAGGGCCAGGGATTGGTGGTCCCAAGATATTCTTTCAGTCTCTTTAATACTATTTTACACCATGTAGTGGAGTCCTTGGAGGCTGGATAGGGGCCCTCTGAGTCAGTCCGTTTCACTAAAGGAAACAGCACTCAGCTCAGAGCCCACCCCAAGAGCTGGTGGAGGCGTCTAGTAGTGAATCACTCATCTGGTAGGGCTGACTGCAACTTGGTGTTCCCATCTACATTTTAGGTAAGTGGATGTCCTGAGAAGAGGAGGCCAGCTGGCCACCTGCCCAGAGTCCTCCCTCCCTAGAGAGGATTTCCTTGGTGAAAGCACTGTGGTCCATAGCTGTGCCTCCGCTCTGATGACAAGAACCTGCAGTGTGTGTGTGTGTGTGTGTGTGTGTGTGTGTGTGTGTGTGTTTCCTCTAGGATGTTGTTTGTCCTCATCATTGGTCTCACTTATTCTGGTGGGAGATAAAGAGATGACTCCACAATTAACATTTACTGCTCTTCCTGAGACCCAGACCCAATTCCTAGCACCTACATGGTGGTTCACCACTGCCTATTACTCCAGTTTCAGGGGATCTGATGTTCTTTTCTGATCTCCATGGGCACCAGGCATGTACATGATGCATAGACATGCATGTAAGCAAAACGCCCACATACATTTAGGCAACAAAAAAGACAGCTGATAAAATTGGGCTTCAAGCTCCACAGATCAGTGGCAACCTAGGAGCCCCCTTTCACAGCTTCCTAGGGAAACCCATTACTAGAGGTTGGTGAGTGTCCCTGTAACTCAGAGAGCCTGCTACATATCTGCAAAACAACACTCCCATGGAAAGCACAGGATCTGGGCCAAACTGCCTCTGTCCAATAGTTGGACCATCTGGACAAGACCTGTTTCTGCTTCTCTTTCCAAGGCTGAGCAGCCCCCTTTGTCTGACAAGCACATCTTTCAATTATGTTTATAGTTCTGTGACTATGCTATGCCCAGTGGTATTGTCCCCATTTCAAAGATGGGGAAGTGAAGGTTCAGAAAGGTTGGGTATGTTTAACCATGTGTAGCTAATAAACTACAGACTTGAACCGAAAAGCTTTCTTTTTTTTCCAACATTTATTTATTTATTTATTTTAATTTTCCAGATTTTTTATTTGAATTAGGAAAAAGATTATTTTACATGACAATCCCAGTTCCCTTCTCCCTCCTGCCCTCCCCTATCACCCCCCCACACACCCCGCAACTAAAACCCTACCTATCACATATCTTTTCTGCTCCCCCTGGATGGTGAGGCCTTCCATAGGATGTCATCAGAGTC